GATTATAACCAGCAATTCCCAATGGAAAGAAACTGGCACACTTGAAGAAAGGGGAGCAAACTGCATAAGAAAAGATTCCTATAGAATTACTGCTCAAAATCCTGAAGGCAGTCTTTCTTGTAAGGCTATGGGCAATATATATGTTTATACATACATATAAACCTCTCAATAAGATGTTAGTATTACATTCTTTTCCTGATGAAATTTAAATACCACCATGGGTCTGTTATGCATGCCCTCATATCTGTTCGTATCTTCAACATGTTATTATTAATCATCAAGAAATATTATGCTTTAAATTGGTAGAAAAAAATGATAGCTGGATTAATATAACTACCTTAAAATGAAACTAAGCACACCGGAGTTGTTATTTTCATTTGTAAACATTATACTTATTAAAAACACATTTCAGGTGTCTGTAATCTATCATGTCACTGAAAAATATGTGTTCTATATTTAGGCAGCTTTTTAATCTAATGGATGCTTCAAGACAAGACAAAGAGACCATGTCATCTCTAAAAGCAACTAGAGTGTGATTGTACTAAGCTACTGCAGTGCAGTATTTCATTAAAATCGGGTTTTGCACTTAAGGAATGAATATTTCCCTCAAAATACTGAAGATCACAAGTGATGAAGGACTTACTGATTTTTCACTAGTGAAATCTGATTCATCTTAATTATGAAAACACGGGGTTAAGTTTTAAAGTGCTGCACAGCTGTAACTTCTGCAACTAATTACTTTAATTAAAATTATATGGCTAAAAACCTAGTTGATCCTATGTATATTAAGTCAGATCTTACCATTACCAAAATACAATGCCATCAACGTTAGTTGCTAACTCGTGAGCCTCTAGGATACAATTTGTCACTAACTAGACAAATCACAGTCTAGAGCACAAACAGTTACCTTGGGACGGACTGTGGTGTTCGGTCCCTCACTCCTAAATTCTTGGCTGTATTTTGTACTCTTGCTCCCTGTAAAAGACAAATAAGAGCTTTGCGTCATTTTTTCCAACACACGTTTTCTTTCTGACCTTCTAGATCAATGTAATTATGTTGTAAAATTAATCAATATATATGCTTCATATCCTTGAACAACTCTCCTCTTTTAAGGTGATAGACAAGTTAAAGGAGTATATTGATTTTCAACTTAAAGTGATACACAGAAAAGAAACACAATCCTTTCAAGTGTCATTATATAAATAAGTACATCGGCTGAGAGAGATACTAGATTTGTGTGAAACACATTCTACATCTGTTTCAACAGAGCTGCAGTGGCAGCAGCACATGATGTAAAAATATGGTGCAACCACTGGTTCAGAATATTAGTAGAGCAAGACTAGAATTTGCATTTGGCAAGTCTTAAGTAAGTCTTCACAGTTAGTCCTCAACTTTCGTAAAGACTTGGAAAGAGTTCAGAGGAGAGTAGTCAGAATGATCAAATCATAGGAATATACAATCAACAAAGAAAAGTCAGATGATCTTATGTTGTTAAATCCAGATCAGGGATGGGTTATTGGGGAAATAACAATAATCAAACACATAAAAGTCAAATTAGGCATCAAGTAAAACATTCTAATGAAAAGGATAATAAAATTCTGGAAGAGATTGCTTGGGGAGCACCGCATAGGAATCTCCATTACTGGAGGATTAAAAACAGGTAAGACAAGCGTCTGTCATGAGTAAGGTACAGCTGATCCAGTTTTGATCAAAAGGCTGGATATGCTTCAATCTAGATTTCATCGTCTTCAGTGTCCTTTTCTCAGCGCCATTTTCTAAAATTTTATGAAAATAAAAAATACCATAATAGACAGCCCATGGCTCAAACTGACATATAGATGAGTATGTACAGAGTGTACATAGGAAAAGTATCGAAATTAATCATATGTAAATATGAACTTCAGTGCTGTGACTATTCTGAGAACAAAAAACAGACTATTTTTACTTATAGCACTCACTAGACAAATTTATTTCAACATCTTGTTCCCATAATAAATCAAGTGTGCTGACTTAAAAATGAGTCTAGCTTTATACAGCCATGTAATTTAGTGTTTAGCAGGAGAACGAATTAATCCTACAAATTACAACCACCACATTCTTATTTCTTTTAGAGAAAAGCCCTCAAGATTTACTAACAACTTGCTATACAATACCTCTTAGTCTCCATTTAGCACCATAATATCATTTCTATTTCAATACACTGTTAATTTACACTTCTCTGATATCATTCCTAAACTTATAATAATGAGAATATTGGCACTGTTTGTCTCCTGTAGCCATAACAGATATTTTTAAGAGACTATAGATTTTTTTTTTCTCAGTAAAACAGTACTGCTAGAGCACTCATGAAAGATTCCATTAGCTCTAGGGAGGTACCATCATAAATCTATAATATGATAAATGAGCTAGTATTTTCAGTGCCATGAAAAGTAAGTGATAGGCTTATTTTCAAGTCACACACTACTTTAAGGATGGGAAAACCAGTCAACATAAAGAAAATCAATTACATTTATGGTTGACTTGGAGAGCACAAAATCAGCACCATTCTTATGAGAACACTTTCAAATGCAATGCTCTTACTATATTCATGAGAGGGCATGGAAAAAATATTCACTTAAAAGGCAACACAGATTCTCTCCCAACATTTCCTCTATCAGCTATTTAGTCACCTCTATCCCTTGCAACCCTGTGGCCTCTTATAGCTCCTTTTCTATGACTCTATCTACATTTTGGTGCCTCCTGAAGACACTTCTATTAGGATGCTCTTAGTCATAATTCGTGGGTAAAGATGTTTACAGGATAAATACACGAGTGAGAAAGGTTAAAGATGGTTGGAAAACTTTGTCAGATTTTTTATTTTAAAGTTGGATCAGCTGGATTAGCTGATGAGGAAAGGAAAACACTTATCTAAAATTGTCCCACTGATCCCAGTTCATAACAACTCTCATAAATTGCTCTCTTTTCTTCAGTTACTGCAACATAAGTGCTGGTAGGCACCGGGTTACAGCTGATAGGGCAATTATTCAGACAATTGTTCCAACAACAGGGCCAGGGTTATTAGGAGTCCTGTTAAGCATGATCAGCACCTCATTCAATTTAATGGAGAAAAGCACTTCCTGAGGTCATGGACATAATCAGGTGTCTCCAGTTATTCACTACCGTTGCCCCAAGCTGAAAAAGTTATTCCAGTAGAGACAATTCTAGTCAAGACAATTTCCTGGTGTGGAAAGATAAGAGCTGCTAGGAGATAGTGTTGCTGGCTTTCAGCAACAGAATAGCAGATGGAATAGATGTCCTTTCATTTGCATATTCCTATGGCTAATTTCTCTTTATTACCCATAAAAATTCATGGTGTAAATGGACTAGTGTAAAGGATTACTTTTTCCCCTACTTTAAAACAGGAAAAATGTACATGTATTCACCTTCGCTAAATGTTCTACACCATTCCTTGAGAACCTTTTACTTTTTTGTATCCAAGCTTTGTGTGTGTTACTGTCCTAATGGTTAAATCCTATAGATATTAAAACATTAAATCAGGAAAAGATTTATAGAAAATACTAGTGTTTGCTGAAATTACTCCAAAACATTCAGATTTAAAGAAGAATTACATATCTATGGCAGAACTCCAAGACTGATTTAAATGACAACAAAAGATTCTAAAAGACTCTGTAAAATCCATCGTGGTTTCCTACAAAAGGAAGAATGTGTGAACAAAGTCTGGCTTGCTATATACTAACAGACTTTTCTGCAGTGTCTGTGGGTGGTATTGAAATATTGGTATTCTTAACAGCCATTGATCACCTGCTGTTTTACTTCAGAGAATGTCGGCCCACTGCAGGCATCTTTTTACATCTTGATTTCAGCAAGCCTCAGTACAATTTCATCTGCTCAAGCAATTTAGCAGGTAACTTTTCTTCTAATTTTATCTTTCATTTTAACTTAAAAAACTATTAGAAGACCCAGAAATGCACCATTTTCTGAAAACCATGCATTGAAAATGTGCAGTTTCACAGAATACCTCTCTGAAAGTGGACATGTAGAACTTTATGCCTAATACCTTTCTGAAACATCCAGATTTGCATGTGGATAGAACTTGAGTAGAAACATCATCATATAAATACAACTTTGTTTTTATACTGCAGTAGCTTTCTTTTAATGCCAAGTTAAAACTGCAATTTCTGAGCACACCTACATGATCTGACTCAGGAACCCTGCGGGTATTTATTCATTACAGAAACTTAATTCATGCACTGAAGGAACTGAAAGTCAGATACGAAAAAGAATGAGACTCATTACTCAGAAATAACATCAGACAGTAACACTTAAATATAATTGATCAAAATCTATGATGTGAGAATATTTACACTATTCCTTAGTAGACTAACGGTTTGATCTAGTGTATATGCATTTTATCTATGGCATGTTAGAAGTAAAGCATAGCTGTTCAATCATTTTTGTAATTAAACTGTGATTTCTGCACAGGATACGTACTAGAACTTAAGGAAATTATAAATTTAGATGCAAATTACAACCCAGAAAAAGTGACTCTTTTCTTATCTGTGATTAGCTGTTCCAACATTTAATAACATGTTTTTTTCTAGTGAATAGCACTTACTTTAAGACTGAATTTGTTTGTATTTGACTTCTGCATCCCGTTTCTCATTTATACTTTTGTCATAAGGTTGCAAGTTACTGCAGGCTGGGATATATGTTCCATATGCACACAGAGTGTATAAGCCCACCCACTACTGCTCAAGCTCTTTGATCAAGCAAATAGGTTGAGCTGTTTAATCTTCACTTCATGTGGCTTGTCTAACAACCCCTGGGTCATTCATGCCCCTTCTTTGAACTCCTTCCAGGACTCCAAACTTATTTTCAAAGCACTTATGTGATAACAAGATATCCCAGGAGTAGTTTGCCAATAGCGGGTACAGTCTAGTCCTCACTTGTAGTTTGTATTCCTTTTTTTTTTAATTAATTATTATTATTAACATCACCAACATTTTTGTCAGACCTTTGTGCTAAGAAGTAATGCTCAGGTGATCAAACATTCTCAAAAGCCTCTAAAATACTAATATCCTATTAGATCAAAATAGTGAAAAATATTATTCAAAGTAAATATTATGCCCTCAAGAATCTTGTCTGGGAAGTACTTATTTCCCTTTCTCTTTCATTCGGTTCATGAGTCACTTTTTATTAACTGTAATTAATAATCCCAGTTAATTATTTCTATGGATAACTATTATTATTAAGATAAAATGATCTTCCTCAACAGACTATTCTGATTTACTGCAACCACAAAGAATATACTGCAGAAGTTATATAAAAACCATCAGATAAAATCATAATCCCATAAAAGCCAGGGTCCATTTACACACACACAGAAAGCAAGCATCTGGTAAAAATCAGCCCATTCCTTTTTAA